AAGAAGGGTGGGGGGTGGGAAAGCGTATATCACAAATTACCGGTTGTTTTCTCTCCCACTGGAAACTCCGTGAAGCTGCTTTCTCGTACCCCGTGTTTGCTGGTCTCCAATAGGAGTCCAAGATGGTGGATCCACGCTGTGTTAGCTGATAGGGGACCTCTGCATGAACCTCTCCTCGCTCTCCGTTCTGTGCCAGTTTTCTCACTCCATTTGGTGCTTGGCTGAGTTCTTTATCTCTTCATTTGATGTTTTAGGGTTTCAGGATGGTTGTTTTCTCTGTTCGGCTTAGTTTTTCGGATCTTTGCTGTGGAGGGACGGTGTGGTGCTTCTGCTTAGAACGCCATTTTCAAAATGGCTGTCTTAACATTTTTTGCAGAACAGATGTTTTAAGTTTTGATGAAGTCCATTTTATCAATTTTTGTCTCTTATGGATCATGCTTTTAATTTTGTTTGTAAGAAATCTTTGCCTAATCTAAGGTCACAAAAATTTCCTCTGTTTTCTTGTAGAAGTTTTATAGTTTCAGGTTTTACATTTAGGTCTGTGGTCCATTTCTAGTTCGTTTTTGTGTAAGGTGTGAGGTAAGAGTAAAAGTCAAGGTTTTCCATTGTTTTTGCTTCTAGATGTTGGATTAGCTTCCCGTGGCTGCCTTAACAAATTACCACGAACTGGATTACTTAAAACAACAGGTGTTTATTCTAGCATAGTTCTTGAGGCCAGAAGTCTGAGATCAAGGTGTGAGTAGGGCCAGTTCCTTCTGGAGGCTCTGAGGGAGAATCCATTCCATGCCTTTTTCTTAGCTTCTGGTGTTGCGGGCCGTCTTCGACGTCCTTGGCTTGTAGCTGGTCACCCCAATCAGTGCCTCTGTCTTCACGTGACTTTCTTCGCGGTGTGTCCTTGCCTCTTTGTGAAAGACACCAGTCATGAGATTCAGGGCCCACCCTAATCTGCTATTACCTCATCTTAACCAATTATATTTGCAAAAATCTTATTTCCAAATAAGGTTGCACTCTGAGGTTCCAGGTAGACCTGTACTTTAGGGGGATGCTGTTCAACCCACCACAGATGTTTTGGGTAGATATTCTGAAATTAGAGCCCCCAGAGTTTGTGGTGAATTGGTTGTAGATTGAGAAAGCGTCTGGGAAGATTCCCAGTTTTGGGGCCTGAGCAAATGAAGGAGGGAAGTGCCACTAATTGCAATGGGGGAGGCCACATGAAGAGCAGGTTCGGCAGTTCAAGAGTCATTGTGGTCATGTCGGGCTGAGTGGGCAGTTGGAGAACTGTGCCTGGCACTCGGGGGTCCTGGCTGGAGACATCGAGTGCAGAGGGTGTGTGAAGGGGTGTGTCGGGTTAGTGTGGAATAAGGGGACCCATCAAACTTGGGGACCCCTGCTTCTACCCACCTGCCACATACTTCTCTGAGTCTCAGGCCTCTTCTCTGTGGAAAAGGCTACTGAACCTTTGTCCATAAGATGCTCACGTCCCCCCTTTAGCACGGGGCTGCCTTGGAATCCATCTTTGCCATGGGCACAGGCTGTACAACCAGCTTTCCCTGTTCTCCAAAACAAACCTTTCTACCTTCGATGCACTAGTAACACAGTTAATGATCAAAAGTCAAATACCAGAAGAGCAGAAGGAAGAGCATCTTGCATTGGGCACCAGGAGACAAGTTCAAGAATGTCCACGGCAGCTTCATCAGCATCCTTGAAAGCTGGAAATCTTGCAAAGGCCCATCAGCAGGGAGTAGAGAAACCGGCTGAGGCCCATCCAGGCATGGAGTACTGCTGTGCCACAGAAACGACCAACTACTGACACACGGACAACATAGTGACTCTCAAATGCAGTATGCTGAGCGACAGAAACCAGATGCCAAAAGGGATGAAGTGATGTGTGTGTGTGTGTGAGTAAAGAAGACAGACAGGGGCCTGATTGCCTCGGTCTGAGTCTCTGTGACCTTGGGAAGTAGCTTAACCACTTTGTGCCTCAGTTTGCTCATCTGACAAATGGGGATAATGACAGTTCTCCCTTGGCTGGCTGTTGTGCAGATCAAGGAGTATATGAAAGCTATAGAATGATGGTCAGTGTGCACAGTGAGTTCTGAATAAGTGCCAGCTACTGTCCTTATTATTTCCTAAAAGTTCTTGTGGCTTATGTTATGTTAGGGTCATCTCTCTTTGTTCTTATTTAAGGACAATGTCACCGTAACTGCATTATGGCATTTGTACTAGATGTCTAGATGTACTAGTTGTCTAGATGTACTTTTATTTACCACAGCAATCCCTTACTGCTGGACGTGGGGGTAATTTCCAACTTTTCAGTGTTACAAACAGCTCTGAGATGAACATTCTGGTATATAAATCTTCGCAGCAGATTCTTAATTATTTCCTTTGGTTAAATCTCAAATGCATACACAATTTGAGGCTCTTAATATATTTTACCAAACTCCATCCAGAAGAGTTTGGATCCGCACCCCCACCAGCCAAACATGAGAGGACCCGCTCCCCAGGCTCTTGCTAACATTGCGTATGATCATTGTTGGCTTGTGATCTTTGCCAGTGAGGTGAGTCAGATATTCGCTGTCATCATTGGAAGCAGTGTTTCTGCAGTTACCTTGAGAGGAACTACATCTTTTTCTTGCCTGTCGGCCATTTGTGTTTCTTTTGGAAATTTACAATTTAAATTTCCTGCTCACACATTAGTCCATTATTCTCTTTGGATGTTCATCTTTGATTGATGTGTAAGAACTCTTTATAAATTAAGGCTATTCAACCTTTGTCCTGTTTTTCAATTTTTTTTCCTAATTTTTTAATCTAAATTTTTGTTTTGTTTTGTTTTTAATTATTAGGGAGTAACAAACGTTTTTGCTTTTTACTTTTCAAATATTCAGATCTACCAATCTCTCCCCTTTTTATTTGGTTAATAATTTCTGCCTTTGGGGCCATGGTTAGAAAAGTATTATATAAATATTTGCTTTTCCTTTCTTCTAACACTTGCCTGGTTTCTTTTTTAACACCTTAATCTTCTGAGGGAGTGCAGGGTGGTGCAGATGGGTAAGTACTCCACTACTAGCCAAAAGGTTAGTGATTTGAACCAACCCCAAGGCCTCGGGAGACAGGCCTGGCGATCTGCTTCTGAAGGTCACAGCCTTGAAAACCCTGTGGGGCAGTTCTGCTCTGCACACACGGGGTCGTCCTGAGTCAAAGTCGACTTGATGACAACAACAACAATCTTCTGAGCGTCCGGAGTTTATTTGCCCCTGCTCTGCCGCTTTCCCAGTGGTCTGTCCCTGCCGCTGGCTGAGTGGCCGCCCCTCCTCGCTGAGCTGTTTTGGTCCCGTGGAGTCTCTCCCACTTACCCTGATGGGCAACAGCACCCTGGCTGCGTCAGAGCTTCCCTGCCCTGGGCTCTGACTGACTGCTGGGTCTTGCTCCACCTTCTGCCCCCGGGCTCGCAAGGTGGGTCCTCATACCTGTCTCTTCCTCTCTAGGCACCTGCAGCCAAGTGAAGCCACCCCCGCAGGGAACCTTCCAAGTCCTTCGTGGCAATGGCACTTCCGTGGGGACAGTGCTGCTGTTCCACTGCCCCTCTGGCCACCAGATGGGGGGGTCTGGCCTCGTCACCTGTGCCTGGAAGGGGAGTGTTGCCGAGTGGTCGTCAGGGACACCAACGTGCAAGTGTAAGGCCCGCTCAGTGACTGCCCCTGGGTGGGTGGCCCCACGTCCCCTCCACGGCATGGCTATGGGTGTTCCCTGAGAGCGGTGGGTATGTAGGCAAAAGCTGGGCTTCTGTTTAGATCTGCACCCCCAGGCCATTGGTGGGCTTGTTTGGCCACGACCCCTGCCTGTTGGAGTGTCACATTTGCAGGGTGATGGAAACCCCCTAGACTTGAAACCCGTGGATGGCTTTGAATCCTAGCTCTGCCTCTGACCTGCCCTGTCCCCTCCAAGAGGTTACTGCTGCTGTCTGAATTGAGCTTTGTCATCTGGCACGTGGGGAAGCTAACATTCACTCATTCAATACTTCACTGATGCATGCAGCAAACACTCATTAGGATATTCCATGCACCAAGAATTCCAGGCACTGGTGACACAGAGGACCACAGCGTGCTCCAGCCCTGCAGCTCGCAGTCTGGGGGAGGAGGTGGTTTTCTAGTTTTTCTGGTTTTTCTAGTTGTTGTATAGGGTGTAGGAGCCCTGGTGGCACAGTGGTTAAGCACTTGACTGCTAACTGAAAGGTCAGCAGTTCGAACCCACCAGCTTCTCTGCAGGAGGAAGATATGGCAGTCTGCTTTGTAAAGATTTACAATCTTGGAAACTCTCTGGGGCCATTCTCCTCCGTCCTAGAGGGTCACTATGAGTCAGAATCGACTCGATGGCAACGGATTTGGGTTTTTTGTACAGGGTGTTGAGGGGTTAGATGAAATAGTAACAGTTGAGTGCCCAGCACAGCATTTGCCACAGTGAGGCCATGAGTTAATGTGTATTGTGCATAAAGAGGGCTCCATAGTCAACACAGTTTGGAAAATGCTAGGATTACAGGCTACAGGACTTCTCAGAGCCTTTAAAATGCTCGCATGCTGAATAATCTCTGAGAATGGGGATGTCTGTTAGGATTAGGTTCCAAGAGACACAAAACCCAAAAGAACAGGGGCTTAAACAAGATTTAACTTTCTGTTACCCATAAACCTCAGGATGGGTAGTCCTAGGCCCTCCTATGGGGCACCACAGCAATGGGGATTCAGGTACCTTTCATCTTGTGGCTCTGTTGGGTGTGACCTCAACTCTGTGATCCAAGATGGTGGCTTCTGTGTTTCAGGCACTAAGGTGAAGAGGTAAGCCAAAGGACACTCCCCCGTGTCTGAAGGAAGGTCCTTAGAAGTTGTTCCGCATCACTTCCTCTTTTATCCTATTGGCTGGAACATGGTCATGTGGCCACATGCTGCTGCAAGGGAGGCTATGAAATATAGTCTTCATTCCAGTTGGCAGTGTCCAGCTAGGATGCAAGGGAAAATGGTATGGGGGAACGTGAGCAGGGCTCACCACTGAGGGTAAAGTACACAGCGTTGCTCAAAGTAGGATCCCAGCTTTTTTCTTTCCACAGGGTATCCCTGAGCACCTGAAGACTCTAGTTGTTAATGCACAGCTGAGGTCACACAGCTGATACATGGCAAAGGCAGGGTTCAAACCAACGCCCTTTGACCCCAAAGACAGGGCATTTTTCTTGGTTTTGTTACTTCCTGAAAAGTGACCTGAGAAGGCACGTAGGCCTTTGAAGCATTTTGCCAGTTCAGAGCATTGTGAAAGCTCAGACCCTGGGCTGGGCAAGTCCTTGTCCACGACAGTGGCTGCTGTCATCTTGTCTGTGTCCCCACGCTTCCTCTGCTTTTCAGCCACAGCACCAGTTGGTGGGAGCAAGTGAGGCCATCACTCTGACCTGCCATCAGAGCTTCTTTCCAATTTTCCACACTGCAAACTCTTACACAACCTCTAAAACCCTCCCCAAATGGTCCCTTCTTGGGGGTATCTTCCCTGATAGCCCTACCCACAGCAACAGTTTACACAGACCTTTGCCTCGGCCTCAGATTGGGCTCCCTGAGGCCAGGCTGGGTCTGACCGCTGGGGTCTGGTGGGTTTGGGTGAGCCTGCCCAAGAGTTGGTGCGTGTCTCCCTCACAGCTGTGCCCCCACACGAGACCTTTGGCTTCAGGGTGGCCGTGATTGCCTCCATCGTCAGCTGTGCCATCATCCTGCTCATGTCTGTGGCCTTCCTCACCTGCTGCTTAATGAAGTGTGTGAAGCGGACAGAGAAGCGGCACTCTGACAGGTACAGCCTGGCCCACGGGGTGGGGGTGGGGAGAGCTGTTGGATGGCCCACGCTCTCTGGGCCTTGGGTCCTCCGTGTGAAACTGGCCTGCAGCCTTGAGCCCTGCTGCCTTCTTTTGCCCATGCTCCCAGGAGAGAAGGAGTGGGCAAAGAGTGTCACAGGAAACACCCTGGCCGCGTCTGGGAGATCATATGCACGTGGCCTATCATATGGTCTCTCCTGGAAAATGTTGCATATGGGCTTGAGAAGAGTGTGTGTTCCTTTGTTTTGGTAAGTCTAGTTGGTTTATAGGTAGGAGAGCCCCAGGGCCTGCCCGTCCCTCCTGAGTGCTGGCCTGCAAGGGGGTTCCTAAAGGAATCCTCACACCAAGGGGCTGCCCGAGGGCTGGCGTTAGTCCTCAGCTGCTAGAATCGGGGTGTGTGCCACTGTGGGGGCAGGCTTGGCACCATGCTGTGCACAGAGCCCCGGCAGCCCTGCCTGGCGAGCAAGGGACATCGCTGGCTGCTGGTGAACACGGAGGCAAGGCACCCTGTTTAGCAACACGCACATGCGTGCTGAGACCACAAGAAAACCTGAGTAGTGATTAAACTTGAAAGTCAGGGCAGCCCCACGTCACTGGGGTGCAGGGGCAGTTTTTTACTATCCTTCAACTTGTGCAATGTGCCATCTGCACCTGACGTGTTAGGGTCATTCAAGTGCTGTGAACGCCTGCACACTTCACGTGGCATCACTCACCCTGTAGACAAGGGTTGGTTAACCACAGCCCACATCTGGAACCCTGCCTGCCTCCTGTTTTTGTAAATACAGTTTCATTGGGACACAGCCATGTTCCTTGGCTTACATGCTATCTGTGGCTGTTTTTGTGCCACAGCGTCGAGTTGAATAGTTGCACAGACACTGCCTGGCCCGCGGAGCCTGCAGTACCCCCTTCTTGGTCCTTTCAGAGAACATCCGCAGACCTGTGCAGTGCCCTAGAGCTGTGCGGAGTGCGTGGGCACGGCTGGTCCACTGTCCTGGAGATGCTGTGTGTTGAGCGTCCTTTACTGTCTCCTCCAGGACGGCCCAGCTATGGTACCAGCTCAGAGGCAAGGACCTGGAGACGCTGCAGGCCGCCTCCCTTGGCCTCAAGGGCCTCAACAACAACAACAACAGCCACCCCAGCTGCCAGCCCCGCTTGGGTGAAGCTGCTTTGCAGGCACATGACAACCACTGCTTCACCTCGTGAGCATGGGTGCCTTGGCCTGGGAGGGGGGTTGTCCCGGGTGGCCCAGTCTGGGGGCTGCTTGCCCGAGAGCTTGGACCACACCCTGCTGCAAGTCAGGCTCACCCAGCCCTCTCAGGGCCTCAGCCCCCCCACCAAGGCTCTGTCCTCAACTCAACATTTCTAATACCCAAAGCTACCCACAAACAAGCCTACATAGGAGTGGAGGTACACTCAACACCTGCATCCCCTGACTCCCTTTACCTGGGCTCAGCAGCTTGCAGCATTCTGCCACTTTCTCCCTCTCCCTCCCTTCCTCCCTCCCTCTCTGCCCTCTTTTCTCTCTCTCTCAATATATACACACACACACTTTTTTTCTGAACTAATATATTCTCTTACCGTCTTCTGACTCAAGTCAGTCTGTCCTGATGGAATAGGGACTGTGTGGTAGACTGTCTCCCAGTGTCATGTTTAGCTCTGAGTGTGCGTCTGCGTCTTGGTTCAGTTCATCCAGGATCACGCGCAGCTCAGCAGCCAGGTCTCTGGCTCCTCTGTCTCTCGAGCGCTGGCATGGAGGCTCCAGTGGGGGACTTGCACGGGGCCCATGTGCGTCCGTCTGGGCTGCCTCGGTCAGATTCAGGTGTGCATGCCTGGCTGGAGAGCTGCATGGGTGACGTGTGTCCTTCTGTGTATCTGTCTATTTGTCCAGAGGCACAGGTGTTGGGAGCCCTTGGCTGTGCTGACTCTGGCCTCGGGGTAAGGCGTGTCCACCAGAGCGCTCTGCCCCGGGTAACTAAGAAGTGACTCCGAGAGGGGTCTCTGCTCCCCAGCCTCTGACCTCCAGCCTCGCGTTGGGGACGTCAGTGATTGCCCCAGGGGTTTGGAAGATGGTGATTCCGTAATTCTGCTGTGATTGTGTCATTCCTGCCGTGAGGAATGAGGATGAGCTCTTTGGTTGTTTCCCTCCTTTTTATTGTTCTGTTGTCATTTTTAGTATCACTATGAATTCATGGATGTACTTTTAAAAAACTTTATTTTGGGAAAATTTCGCAAGTACACAAAATTAGAGAGCAGCACAACGATCTCACATCCCGGCTTTGACAATGACTGAGTCCTGGCCAGACCACGTCCCCCACCCATCACTCTGAAGCACAGGGTTCTGTGCTCTCGCTGTTCTTTGAGAGCCTGTGCGCCTGTGTCCTCCTGGTGTGTCCTGTCATTACCTGAGCTCTTCCCTTCTCGTATAAGATGCTCCAGGCTCACCTAGTACTTTTTCCACCCCTCCCAGAAGCCAGCCCTCCTCCAAGGTGCCCGGCCCCTTTTGGTGGGGAGTGAGTTTGGAAGCCCAGGCTAGGCAGTGGCCGTGAGTCATCGGCCTGGTGCTAAGTCCTGCACCTAAGTGTCCTCACTTTGTTGCCACAGAATCCTTTGAGGGAGCAAAGCGCTCTGATAAGCCCCCTTCCTTGACACGAGCCTCAGAGTCCCTCCCCACCCTCAGGAAGGCGAGCACCCCTGTTCAGTGGAGCCAGCCTCCTTGTACGGGTGAGGAAACCTAGGCATAGAGGGGGCCACAGCACAAACCCGGCCCCCGCAGGGTCCAGGCCAGGAAACAGTGCAGAAGGGCTGATGCCCTCCTGCCCCTCCCATGTGCTGGAGAGGCCCTTATTCAGGGCCGAGAGGGAGGAACCAGGGCTCCTGAGACCTGTGCCTGCCCCATGCCCAGCCCCCAGTAGCTGCCTCTGCCACCACCAGTGTGGCTACAGGGTGCCACTTCTTTCAGGAGCTTTTAGGAATATAGGTCAAGGGACACAGTGTCAATGGAAAGTCCGACGGCCTGTGAACCACTCCTGGAGGGCAGCAGAGAGGTCTGCAGTTGCTGGCGAGCACTCCCAAGCTGGAGGAGCCCGAGTTGGGGGGAAGTGCAGCTGTAGTCTGCTGAGCCTACCAGCATGGAGTCAGGCCTTGTTAGGGCCAGGCGTGACCTGGCCAGGCCACGTGCAAAGACACTGTCCTTTCCTCTGGGTTGAGCCCCACTGCTAGGCTGAGGGCGGGTGCTTAATTGTCGCCTGTCACTTGGCCAGGCTCAGCTGATCTGGGCCTGGTACGGGTTCTGGAGTCAGCGTGTGGTTGGGGGGATGGGATAGGAGAGGATGGTCACAGCCTGAGTGGGAGCAGGATCAATAGTTGCCCAGCACCCAGGGGCCAAACCAGACCCAGAGAATGCCCTGGACCGGGGACCGCACCAGGTGTCTTTCTACTTTTTTGTTCTCCTGACACCCCCTGCCCCGCTGGGCCTGTGTGTGATGTGGCACCAGCTAGGCTTTCTGGGGATTGGGAGCAGGTAGGCTATTGAGGTGTGAGTTGACATGTGACAGTTGACTGGGAGATGAGAGGTCAGAGGGTCCTGGGACCAGCCCATTTGCCCAGCTCCACGGAAGGGCCAGACCCAGGCACCTGGGAAGGCAGCAGAGTGGGATAAGCCTAGCCCCACTCTTCCTCCAACTCACATCTCCTCTCCCCACAGAGACCATGGCAAGGGCACCACAGAGCTGGCCAGCATGGGCCCCAGCGTGAATAAGCACCCCTGGACACCTCTGCCCGATGCTCTGAGCCCCAGTGTCTCCCGGGTGATGGTGCACATAGAGAGCCCTGCGCAGACCCTGCCTGCCTCTGGACCCACCCCAGAAATGCCAGGAATGCCGGGTCAGGTGTCAGCAAACCTGGGGTAACCTGAGAAGCTGCAGCCGGTACCTGCCTGCCCACTCCACCAGCCTGCCATCTGGTCTCCACGTGTGTCTAACTGGAAATGGTGGTGACTTCTCAGGGCTGAGCTGACACCAGAGACTCGGGGCCTCAGTGGGAGTGCTCTGTCCCAAGGGAGCCTGGCTGTAGCCATTTTTATAGATATGGCTTCCTCGAAACCATTTCTGAGGTCAACACACCAGCTGTAGCCTCCTGCTAACCTGGGTTTCTTTAAGGAGACTGGGTAACGGTTTTAGAAAATCGAGTTTTGCATAATAGACTAAGAAAACAGCAATAAACTTTTTTTTTCAGCAGTTACAGGTGGCCGTTCTAAAACTCAGTATCTTCTTCTAAGCAGGGACTCTTCCAGGGTTCTGCATCCGTTGTCGTTGTCTATATAGCTGAGGATGAGCGTGTGAAGTAAAACAAAATAATTGTTTAATACCGAAAAACACAAAGGTAAAAAATCACTGTCCCAATTTTTGATACTTTGTAACAAAACCTTAAGTCTCGTGGCATAAAACTAGTCATTTATTATTGCGTCTCAGGGCTCTGGGCTTGACTGGGCGGTTCTCATTCAGGGTGTTTCATGGTGGTTGCAGGCAGGTGGTGGCTAGATCTCATGGGGTTTGTTGGTCAGAAAATCCACATGCGGCTGACTCCATATGGCCTGGGCTTCCTTACAACATGGAGGCTGGTTTCCAAGGCTGAGGGTTCCAAGGGTGAGAGTTCCAAGTGCAAGTGCCAGGTAGAAGCTGCACTGCCTTTTATGATCTGGCCTGGGAAGTCACACAGTGTTACTTCTGCTGCATTCTATTAAGAATAGAGAACACCCCTTCCCAGAGTATGACCTTTACCCACATCTGGGAGTTCTGTCATGTTAATAAGTGCAGAACTTCCCAACCTTATTTCCCTCCTCAATCACTTGTGTCCACCTGATCTGTCAGTGCCCAGTGGGAGGGGCTACACTTCCTGTTAGCAGTACTTTTAGTTTTTCCTTCCATTTACTATAGAGCCCTGGTGGTGCAGTGGTTAAGAGCTCGGCTGCTAACCAAAAGGTCAGCAGTTTGAATCCACCAGTTACTCTTTGGAAACCCTATGGGGCAGTTCTACTCCGTCCTATAAGTTCCCTATGAGTCGGAATCGAGTCAGCGGTAACAGGTTTGGGTTATTTTTTTGCTTGTTTGTTTCCATTTACCATAAGATTATTAATAATAAATTTTGATTCTTATAAAGGTAAAATGTTTTCCTTGAATTCACTCTTGTCAGCTTATAAAATCAGCCTCTGACTTCCCAAAAAAGAATAAAATCCAACCTATGATCAGTGGGAGGGGACTTAGACTCCACTTCTAGATGGGAGGAGTGCCAAGAATTTGCAGACACATTTTTAAACCATGACGATCACATTTAACCCAGTTACTTGTAAAAGCAATTATATAAAAAAATGACTGTGTCTCTTACTCTTCCAGCCTCACTCCCATGGATATTGATGTTAACTTTGTGTATACATAACTGTGTATATACACATACGTGCATAACAAGATGTGATTTTTATCATTTTTATTTTCTTTTACTGCTTTTTATTGCTTTGTAGTAAGTTTTGAAATGAGGATGTGTGAGTCCTTGAGGCTACTTCATTCTTCTTTTTCAGGATTATCTTGGCTATTCTAGGTTCCTTGCAATTCCATATGAATTTTAGAATCGGCTGAGATTCTGATAGGGCTTACGTCGAATCTGCAGATCAGTTTAGAGAGTATTGCCATCTTAACAATGTTAAATCTTCCAGTCCATGAACAGGGGGTATTTTTCCATTTATTTAGACCTTTAATTTCTTTCAGCAGTATTTTATAGTTTTCAGAGTATAAATTTTGTACTTCTTTTCTTAAATTTATTCCTCAGTATTTAACTCTTTTTGATGCTATTGTGAATGGAATTGTTTTCTTAATTTCATTTTTGGATTGTTCATTGCAGGTGTATAGAAATGCAACCTTGCTGAACTCATTTATTAGTCATAATAGTTTTTAGTGGATTTCTTAGGATTTTCTATATAGAAGATTATGTCATCTGCGAATATAGTTTTCTTCATTTCTAATCTGGATGCCTTTTATTTCTTTGTCTTGCCTAGTTGCTCTGGCTACAATCTCCAGTACAATGTTGAATAGAAGTGGTAAGAGTCAATATCCTTGTCTTGTTCCTAATCCAGTCTTTCACCATTTAGTGTGATGTTAGGTATGGTATTTTTTATAAATGCCCTTTATCAGGTTGAGGAAGTTCTCTTGCATCCATGTGATAAATCCCACTTGGTCATAGTGTATAATTCTTTGTATATGTTGCTGAATTCAGTTTGCTAGTATTTGGTGAGGATTTTTTTTTTTCAGTCCATATTCATAAAAGATATTGATCTGTAGTTTTCTTCACTTGTGATGTCTTTGTCTGGTTTTGGTATCAGAGTAATTCTGGCCTCATAGAATAAGTTGAAGAGTATTCCCTCCTCTGCTGTTTTTCAGAAGAGTTTGTGAAGAATTACTATTCTTCTTTAAATCTTTGGTAGAATACAGTTGTAAAACCATCTGGTCCTGGACTTTTCTTTGTGAGTAGTTTATTGATTACTGATTCAATCTCTTCACTTGTTATACTTTATACAGATTGTGGTTTCTTCTTGAGTCAGTTTGGTATTTTGTCTTTCTAGGAGTTTGTCTATTTCATCTGCATTACCTAATTTGTTGGCATATAATCGTTTACAGTATTTGTTTGTAATTCTTTTTCTTTCTGTGAGTTTGGTAGTGATGTCCCCCTTTTCATTTCTAATTCTAGTAATGTGAGTCTTCTTTTTCTCTTGGTCAAACTAGCTAAAGATTTGTCAGTGTTTGATTTTTTCAAAGAACTAGTTTTTAGTTTCGTTGATTTTTCTCTATTGCTTTTCTATTTTCTATTTATTAATTTCTACTCTCTAATTTTTATTATTTCCTTCCATTTGCTTGTTTTAGGTTTAGTTTGCTCTTCTTTTTCCAGTGTCCAAAGGTGGAAGGTTAGGTTATTGACTTGAGATCTTTCTTTCTTAATGTAGGTATTTACAGCTATCAATCTTCCTCTAAGCACTGCGTCAGCTGCATCCCTTAATTTTTCGTATGTGTTTACCCATTGATTATTTAGGAGTGTATTTAGTTTACACAGATTTTTGAGTTTCCCAGATCTTTCCCTGTTACTGATTTCTAATTTCATTCCATTGTAGTCAGAGAACATTGTATTGTTTCTATCCTTTTAGATTTATTGAGACTTAGTTTAAGGCCTGGCATATATACACCTATCCTGGAGAATATTCTATATGCACTTGAGAAGAATGTGTATTCTGTGGTTGTTGCGTGGAGTGTTCCATATAGATGTCTCTCAGGTGTGGTTGGTTATAGTGTTCAAGTCTTCTATTTGCTGTCAATCTTCTGTCTAGTTGTTATATGCATTATTGAAAATAGGATATTGAAGTTTCCAACTATTATTGTTGAATTGTCTATTTCTCCCTTCATTTCTGTCAGTTTTTGCTTCTGTATTTTGGTACTCCATAATTAGGTGTATATTTTTTTATTTTCCTGATAGATTGACCTTTCTAATCATTGCAAAATACCATGTTTATCTATAGAAACATCTCTGGTTTTACAGTATATTTTGTCTGATATTAGTATAGCCACTGCAGCTTACCCGTGGCTGCTGTTTGAATATGTCTTTTTCCATTCTTTTACTTTCAATCTATTTGTGTTTTTAAATCTAAAGCGTGTCGCCGGTAGAGAACATATAGTTGGATCATGTTTTTTATTCAGTCTGACACTTTCTCTGCCTTTTGATTGGATTGTTTAATCCATTCACATTTAATGTTATTATTGATATAGTTGCATTTACCTCTGTCATCTTTCCTTTTGTATTCCATACATCTCATGTCTTTTTTGTTCCTCCTTTACTGCTTTCTTTTGCATTGAGTGAATATTTTCTGATATAGCATTTTAATGTCTTTAATGATTGTTTCACCATATTTTTTTAGGGTTTTCCATATACAATTAACTTATCAGAATCAGCTTCAGAATTATACTAGCTTAATTCCACTAATGTCTGGAAGCATATAGTTCTTTTTCCTTTTTCTCCTTTTTGTGGTATTATTGTTATACATATTGTATCTGTTAATGTTATAAACCTAACAACACATTGTTATAATTAATACTTTACCATCTATTGTTATTTCCTTAGCCCATTAGAGTGTCACTGCTACTCACCTCTTTTGTGCTATTGTTAGCAAATACATTACACATATTACACATTTCTACATGTTATAGGCCCAACAATATTATGTACATACTGTTTTATGTGATTTCTCTTTTTTTTAATACTTTATTGTGTTTTTGGTGAAGGTTTACACAGCAGTTTAGGTTCCCATTCAACAATTTCTACACAAATTTTTCAGTGACATGGGTTACATTCTTCACAACGCGTGAATATGCTCATTATTTCCATTATAGTTGTTTCATTTCTATTAATCTAGTTTCCGTGCCCCCTTACCTTCTTATCTTTGTTTTAAAGTAATTGTAGACCATATTGTCTCATACAGAGCCTTGATGACACAGTGGTTAAGAGCTCAGCTGCTTACAAAAAGGCTGGCAGTTCAAATCCACCAGCCACTCCTTGGAAACCCTATGGGGCAGTTCTACTCTATCCTGCATGGTCTCTGAGTTGGACTCAACTTGACGGCAATGAGTTAGGTTTTGTGTTTTAGAGGATTTTTTAAAGGAGCACAGCACTTGTGGGTGATGTTGTTTATTTTGTGAGCCAATCTGTTGTGTAGCTAAAAGGGGCTATTTTTGGTTCAGGGTTTGAAGAGTATCTCAGGGCAATAGTCTCGGGAAGTCCTCTAGTCTTAACCAGTCCAGTAAGTCTGGGTTTTTTTTTTTTAGGAATTTGAGGTTCTGTTCCACATTTTTCTTCCATTCTATCAGGGTCCATCTATTGTGGTCCTGATTAGAATGATACATAGTGGTAGCTGAGCACTATCTATTTCTTCTGTTCTCAGGGTAGATGAAGCTATGGTTTCTGTTGACTGTTGGTTCTGTAGACTAGTTTCTTCTTTGACTCTTTGGTTTGCTTCTTTCTCTTTTGCTCCAGATGAGTAGAGAACAATAGTTGTATCTTAGATGGCCACTCACAAGCTTTTTTTTTCTTTTTCTTTTTTTTCTGTTGTACTTCAGGTGAAGACTTACAGAACAAATAGTTTCTCATGAAACAGTAGGACACATATTGTTTTATGACATTAGTTAACAACCCCACAACATGTCAATCCTCTAACTTCTCAACCTTTTTTTTTTTGGTGAAAATACACATAGCCAAAGAGACACCATTTCAAAAATTTGTACATGCACAGTTCAGTGACATTGACTACCCTCTTCCAATTGTGCTGTTATTCTCACTTAAGATGAAGGCTTAGGGAACAAAATAGTTTCTCATTTAACAGTTACTACAAATGTTGCCCTATGACAATGGTTAACAATCTCACAACACATCAACAATATCCTTACTCAACCTCGGGTTCCCTATCACCAGCTTCCTTGTCCCCTTCTGCCTTCTGACCCTTGTCACTGGATTACTGTACCTCGTTAGTCTCATTTGGTTTTACGGGGCTGTCCACTCCCAGGCTGAAAGGTGCACCTCAGAGACAACTTCACTACTGAGCTAAAAGGGTGTCTGGGGGCCATACTCTCGGGGTTTCTCCAGTCTCCTTTAGGCCAGTAAATCTGGTCTTTTTTTTT